TAAAAAAATTATTTTAATTAAAATTGAATATCTTAGTCTTAGCTCAAGCATTATGTATGTGCTTACTCTCTATAAATACATTTGATTTTACACAAGGTAAATTCACAAATGTATTTTTCTTTGTTTAATCATAAACTAGCTAAAAGATTACCTAGAAAGGACTCTTCTAGTCCTTACTTACGATCAAGCAAATGAGGTGAATCGTACTGCCCCATTCTGTTAGGTATCACATTCATGGCATCAGACAATTAGGCAGCAGTCTCCACTCCCACCTTTTCTAACAATCACTCAGTTCCCTATAGCTGTATCTAGAATGTTCCACCCAGACTAGATAGAATTATATCACTTTGATCTTTAACATAATTGTTCTTTAGTAAAAATAAATTAATTAAAATTCAGTGATGAGCCCTCCCTGCTGACACAGCTGTTGGAGCTCTGCACTGAGAAGCTAAGCCAAGCCGTGGCCCTTCAGTGCAAGGTCAATCCCTGCGGGGAGGTGACCCACACAGAGTAGAAGACCTCTCCTGTCTTGCCCACTGTTCTCAGCAGCCGTACTTTGTCGATCTGCCTGTTCTGCTCCCCACTCTGTCTCTGGTGAATCCTCTCACCGCCCCTGCACCTCTGGCCTGTACCCCAGTTCTGTATGCATAAATAAAATCTTTAAAATAAATAAATAAAGCTCAGTGATATGTATTTGCATAACTATTGGAAGTGACAATATGTCCCATTCTTTTTATTTTTACAGGCAAATTTCATCAATCTAAAATCTAATTTCAAAGCTTTCTTTTCCCTTTTACCCATACTACCTATACCTATTTTCTGCAACATTATCATCAAAATGTTTTAGCATTAACTCTCCCAAACAACTATCAAAAAAAAAAATCGTTTGAGTATATGTATATCCGCACATATACATAGATAAATAGAAATAAAGGAAGGATTCATTCTGTTTCTCTATATGATTTCAGTTTTCCCACATTACTTTTTAAACTGACATTTCAAGATATTTTCCACTGCAGATTTTCTTAAAAGGCACAGTCAATATCTACAGTTTGCCTAAAGTGAAGATTATTATAGTCTTATTTTTCTGTGAGGTAGCACTTTCACAATCTAAGGGAACCAAAGTATAACTCAGAATAAAATTTTCCTTCTAAGTCACACTTGCAAATACACATGTAAAAGATATATACTTCAGAAAAATTCACTTAAGTAAATTACTTAAATTTGAATTTAAATTCAAATTCAGGTTTGTGAGAATATAAAACATGATACTCCAGTCTTCAATAAATTCTAATTTGTTCTAATTTCAGAGCTATAAAAATAAATTGCTTGTAATTTTGACTTTTTAAAGTATATTTACTAAGAAGCTATTTTTTTAAAAAGATTTATTTATTTGTGCATACAGAGCTGCGGTACAGGCCAGAGGTGCAGGGGCAGTGAGAGGATTCACCAGAGACAGAGTGGGGAGCAGAACAGGCAGATCGAAGAAATACAGTGCTGAGAGGAACAGTGGGAGGGTCAGGAGGGGTCTGCTGAGCCATTGGATCTCCTCAGGAGCAGGCAGAGTGGCTTTAGCTTCTTAGTGCTGTGCTTTAACTTGCTGCACCACCAGAGAGGGCCAAGAAGCCATTCTTAAATACCTCCTTGAACCTCTGAACTTTTTGTACTTAAAGGAGCGATTGCCTTTGTAAAGGAGTGTTATTGAACATTTACATTTTCAAATTCTAAAGCAACTGAAAGAAAAACTACTATGTCCTGAAGAAGTATTGGTTCTAATATGCAGCCTTTAATTATACCTATTCAAAAGCTGTGTTTTTTAGTCCTGTATTGTAGCCATGACCCATGCACTTGGCAGGAAATTCAACCAAACCTTTCCTAATTTAGTTACTATTATTTCTTGTAAATTAGAATGTGTACACAAATTTCGAAGCCCATATGGAAATATATACTACTAGAAAAAAAAATCTGAAATATTTATTACTTAGAAAAAAGCTTCAACTCTTTGAGGCAACAAACTCATTTCTGAATATTCCGAAGACCATGCATATCAACCAGAACTGCAAATTTCATCACATATGTCCCTAGATAAAAAAAAAAAAAAAAAAAATCATGTTATGTGCATTTGCTAGTAATAGAAGACC